CCGCCTCCGAAGCCGTCAATCCCAACTGCCCCACCCCGTGAAACCTAGCCGGGGCGGAGCACCAATAGAAGGGGAACTTCGGCAACCCGCCGAAGTAGAATGCCCCATCCTCCAACGGATCGACGTCCACCAGCGCCACCCGGAAAAACTCTTGCTTGAAATTTTTATATGACTGGGAGTAAAGGGTGAATAAACCCCCATCCCTACTCCCACTCAGAGACAATAAGCCATAAGGTGGAACACCTAGTTTCAGCTGGTAAAAATGAAGAAAAACGGGAAGAGACACCTCTATCCCTAGAGCTGAACACAGGACTTGAAAAGCCCGCAAAAAACCCCAATTATTTGGGTGCAACTGGCAAGGAGCCGAGTTGATAAAATTTAAAAAATCACACTCAAATTGAGTGAAAGGAAGGCAGACGCCTAAATCCCTAAAGAAACACTGGTAGACATAGAAATGGGGAGGGTCTGTAGACTTCCCCATTTACACACCTTCACCGGCTTGCAGCCTCTGTTTTCTAACGCTGACAGAGAGAACAAACTTTAATCTATTTCTTAAGAGAAACTTAATCCCAGTGGCTGCCCCGTGGATGTAGACTGTTGAGTGCATTGCTCAAAGTCGAACCACGTAAAAGTGTTGTGTGTTCTCTCCTTATCTTTGTTCTCTTAATTTTCTTGCTTGTTTCTTGTTTAAAGGAATATAACAGAGAGTGAATCCCGTGTGTGTGTTTATCATCTCATTCTTGGCGTAACAAATTAAATAAAATCGAATTGCAATCAGGAATGTGAAATCCCACTTAGTTCATCATAAAGTAAACTTCTTTTCAGATAAAAATCAGTTTTACCATTTAAGCTTTTATTTGTTGGCCATGTTAACTCATAGCAATTGATCAAATTCTGGTAATAGATCATGAGATCCTTCAGTCAACAGATTCCTACATTGAAGCCTAATTTTAAGATGTACTTCACTACCAGCAGGAAGGAAAAGTTAACAAAGTACTTATGATTCCGTATTATGACAGTCACAGATATAAGATGTACGATTTCAAAGAGAATGAACCTGGAAAGTATCAAAGTCTGAGCTTTGATAGCATAAAGGCGTGAATGGGCATAAGCAGAAGCTGACTTAAGCAACTTTAGTTTCCACAGAAGTGTTTCTTTTGGTAAAATGTCAGCAAGAACCTGAGAGACAGAGTTCAAGTAACAACAGATTTTCATTATTGAAAGTAGATGAAGGTAAACTCAAACTGAACACCAAGAAGCCAAAGTAAAGAACATTCAGTTATGTAAATCCACGTTCTTCCAAAGTCCAATATATTCCACTTTTATGAAGTTTTGGTTAAAAGAAAGCAAAGAAAATAATTTATCCAATTTTAAATTTAGATTTCTTCTGGAATATGCCCCAGGCTTTGTCATTACTTCTCATACAAAATGCTTTCCATCTTCAAAGCATAAAGAAAAAGTTACGCACTGCTCTTCTAATAGGAATTTCTTCAATTTTTGAACAAAACCAATAGTTGAATCTTACAGGCAGAGATAATGAAAAAGTAGTAAAATCCTTCGCTAGATCTCCAGCTATATTTTGCAAAGGAAGCCCTTGGACCACATTATCCAACACCGTCCTCAGAGATTCACCTAATGTACAAGAAACGTTGAAGTCTTCAATGGAAAAGGGCATCATTCAACTTGGAAAAAGATAAAGACAGTATATAGGTCCTTGACCAATTTATGATAAATGATGTTTTCCTTATAACAGTTAGTGTTTAAGGATCTTGAAGTTTATCATAAGTTCCTCATGACATGAAAGTTAAGTACTTGTCGATTTAATATTTTAATTAACTAAAAAACTACAATTCATGAATATTTAGTTAAAAATAAGAAAAAGCAACAAAACAAAAGGAAAATCTTGTTTCACTAGTCACCATGTAAATATTAACAACCTACAACTGAGACAACTGTCTTGTAATATAAACTTCCTACAAATGGAGCCTTTCAATAGGTCCCCAGCATCTGATTAAGTGTTTCAAGAGTATTCCCTTTTTTAAAGGATTTAATATATTGTATATAGTGCATGTTTAGCAAAGCTTTTTACAGAGGAAATAATGGCTTAGTTATTTTTCAAAATTTCTCTCAAGAAGCAGCAAAAAGTAAGATAGGACAAAACTTTAGTACAAATATGTTTTACAGTAAGATCTTACTTTCTTTAAATAAACTGAACTAAGCACAAAAAGTTTTTTTAGGCTCGCATAATGATGCAAAAGTATTTCAAGACAAAATAATCTCTTAAGGTGGAATTAGATCAAAACACATCTGTCATGGATCTTTAGAATAGTTCCGAAAAAAAGAAAAAGGCATAATCTTCAGAGCAAGATACACAAACCTGCTGTCAATTTGAGAATGTTAGGCAGGCTAGGAGAGAGTGGATCAGGCAAGGCATCTAATAACGGTGTGAGAAGTTGCAAGTTTGACCTGCTGAACGAAGTAGCTGCAAAATTGGGTGGGGAAGGTAAGATAAGGTATTTTGTCCATCTTTAATTGAAGAGCAGTTACAGGAAACAAACATGAATATTGTATAGGAATATTCAAAGCTCTAGCTAAGGAACTCATGTTCGCTACACTATTGTCAAATATCAATGAATGGCATTATTTAGAAAATACTAATCCTCACCGTATTCGTAAGCAACATCAGACATCGGTGTCCAGGCTAAACTCCAGTATCATTAATTATCATACTTGCCATCAAAATATCACTAAGCTAACTCCAATCTTTCATTGTTGGGATGACACGCTTGGGTTAGCACCAACATGACCCAAGACTTAAACCCTAAGTCAAGGCCAAACCAAGAATATATACTAAATTTTAATTTCTATTCAAAGTTTGATCTACTTCTTGGACATTGTCTTGCATCCACTCATGTGTGGATGACTCTTAACATTACGGCTTTCATATGTCAGAATACTAACTGCCAAATTGTGCAGATCAGAGTACATATATAACAGTGAATTAGTTGTTCATCGTGGCTACTGGAGATTCTCTAAAGTTAAACTCTTTCTTTCAGTCATTTTTAAGGTTCTAGTGGGCCTTGATTCTTGAACTATAATAATATTCAAGAGAATAAATCTTATCTACATTACTAAGGTTACCTGGGTTCGCCAAAATTAGTACAAGATCAATATCAGGGTTAAGTGCTGACACAGCCAGCGCAAGACATGCTCCTAAAGATTCTCCAACAAGATATATGGGTCTGTTTGGTGAACGTTGATATTCTGACTTGACCGTTGTCTCAACTATTTTCACAAGGTCTGCAAGAGGAAGTATACAGTACAATAAATAATGTTGGAACTCACTACTGAAAGACGACATCAAGGAAGAAAAACATGTGATCCCATTTTCAACACAATAAACATGCTCTAAATCATTTTTAAAAAGTAGAGCAAAAACAACAGACTAGACTAATGGTTAGTGGCTGAGATTTCAATATGAGCACGAAATAGTATGATGAGCAGATGAGATGCAGGGGAAAAAAAAAAGTACCTGTAAATGGTGTTCTATCTGCGACTGGAATATGCAAGCACCATATATCGAAAATCCTTCATTAAGAAAAAAGAACAGAAAGAGCATTTCTCGCATAAGTTAATAACCCAAGACCAACACCGAATTTGGCTTCAAATTCATTTCATTAATATCATCACCTAAAAAATGCATTCCTAAAATGACAATTTGGTGACCAATAAATTTGAATGGAATTGAAGTTGATCTCTTTAAATAAGATTTTATATTCGAGTTTTCTATGTAAAAAAATATCGAATTAGAGAAAAAGATTATACTAAAATTAGTTAAATTTTTTAATATAGAGGAGTCATGTCAAAATCAATAGATATTTTATACTAATGATATACTTATAAAAAAAAATTGTGAGTGCACTTGCCTTCCAAGTTTCTGATGATGTAAAATAAGTCCAAGTCCCACGCCATCAATCCCTGTAAAATTTGGAATGCCAATTATTCAGACAAATTTATGAGTAACAAACCATGTTTGAAATCATGACATGAAGAATAGATAACCTTAGGACGAATCATAAATCATGACAGGAATAGTAAAGCAAACAACAACAACAAAATTTAATCTTAAAATATTTATTTGCAATTAATTTTTAATCCTATCATTCAAGTAAAGTACTACAACAACAACAACATTTAATCTTAAAATATTTATTTGCATTTAATTTTTAATCCAATCATTCAAATAAAATAAAATAACTTTTATTCATTGTTCTTATTACTAACATTGATAAAATGTTTTTGGCGGAGTAATATAGGAGTCATAAAATAAGAAAGTTCTTTTAAATTATTTTTTTTATAAAATGTTTAAAATTAGAAGAATGTACGCCGCCTTGCAAGAACAAAAATGACCATTAACCTCAGCGCCGAGAATCTACAGTGAAAAAATTGCACATTTTCTATATAAAAAAAAAATAAGAATTAAACCTAAGTTACAACTAGTTTGATCGAATGAGATTTAACTAGATGTATCAATCCCGCTAGAAAAGTCAATTTATGTTAGAGTAAGAAAAATAAATATTAAATAATAAATGTTATTATAAATGATTAAGATTAAAATCCGTGTAATGTATTCACCAAAAAAAAAAAAAAACCCATGTAATGTGAGTTTTTTTTTAAAAGGCATGTGACTTTTTTAAGTTATCACGTGATCTATCTTTTTTTCTTTTTAAATTTGTAATCATGTATATATAATTACATATTTTATATTTATTTCTCTCATTCACATATAAAAGGACTTTGATTGTATAATTATATTTATATAATTGTATCAAGGAAGTCTTGTCGGATTAATTGATTCAAGTGCATGAATCGTTACAAACTCTTTAGTACTAAATTCAAAATATATATATATATATATATATATTTTTTTTTTTTGGTATAAAAATAATCGATGAACTTTCTGAATCAATAAGTATATATATGGTAATAAAAAAAATTAAAAAAACTATGGATGTTAGCAAATTTTTGAAGTGTAATATTGTCCACCAATCATTACTCAAAATATAAATAAAAAAAATTAAAGTAATAAATAATTTAAAATAAAAAAATAATCATATCTCATGATATATATTCTAAAACAATACTGATAAGTGTATGTGCACTGGTTAAAAGATAAAAATAAAATAAAAATTATTATTATTATCAGTGACGGATCTAGAAAATTTAAGTAGTGGGGACAATATTTAAATACATAAATTTGTCAAAATATAAAATAAAATTTCTATAAAAATAAATACATATCATTATTGTTCTCTACAAATTTTCATAGTTTAAAAACATTGAATGATTTGCTCATTTTCAATACTATTAAAAACCTCTTTCTATATATAAATAACTAAACAATCATTTAACCATTCATCTCTCATACGATTTCGTATCCAATTCTTGATGATATTCATAACAAAAAAAACTCTTTCAACTGATGCGATTGCCACTGGTAGTATCAAGGCTAGCTCTAAAAGCAAATACACCAATGGATATACATGTTTTCTTGTCTCCACAAGCTTCATAGAAAGATCACCAATCCCTTCTAATTTTGAAAAAGCACTGTCAAGACATACATATATGAAATAATTTTCAAGTTGATTATCTAATGCCAAAAGTTCAACCGAAGAAAATTCAGAAGAACAAAATTGAGCAAAACGAATCAACTTCTCCTTGTCAAATGCAGAAAATGAATCTCTTAGATTTAAACATGCTACACAAAGAAGCAACTCAGTATTTGCTTAAGTGAAACAATTATTTAACTCTTGAAGTTGTTGATCAATCACTTGAAAAAATAATTCAACTTGAAAATATAATTTTAATTAATGTAATGTTCATAACATACAATGTTTCTTCTAAACATAAAAATAGAATGAGTAAATAAAAATTAAAATACTGAATTTCTCATTGAAAATAAAAAAATAATTCAAATAAAGTAATATAAAAATAAAAATTTTAAATACACTAACCTCAAAGATCACTTTAAATGTATAGTGTAACTATTGAAACATGAAGGAGTAGAGATGGAAGAATTTGTTTTTTTTTCTTTTTAATTTCACTTTTCTACACTTTAAAATATGTTAGAGGTAGAGGAGAATCTCAAAATATGAATAGAATTAGAAAAAGTAAAAATAAAATAGAAAAAGATATAAAATATCCAAAAAGAGGTTAATAATAACATATGATTTTTTTTACTTAAAATACATATATGATTAATTTATAATTTTTTATCTTGATTTACACATTGGAGCGACTCAATCAAGTTAATTAAACGCCTCGTCAACAAGCGCCGAGGAAGTTTTAAAAGAAGATCAAGGTCTGATTGCTCCTCGCCCGACAAGTCTTCTCTTAGTAGGGTGTTGTGTGGTCGAGATACACACGTTCAATAAAATAGAAATAAAATCTCGTCATTCTCGTCACAAAAAAACCTTCGATTGTTTGGCCAAATGGTTACTCTCTGACTTTGAAGTTCTTGTAAGATGAGGTAAAACTATCAAGTAATTGTCGTTCGGATACCCTAATCAATGACAACCACTTAGCCAAATCAATCGAACGAGTATAATAGAAATGAAGGAATAGGCAAGGGGAAGGCATGATATTAAGGCATCAACAAAGATGGTTGAAGACTTGCATTTGGGCCTAACTGTTAGGATGTAATTGGGTTGGTGCCACATTCAAGACCCTCAAAACCCCCATTGTAAAGTCATCAAACCACAACTTCACCTTCAGATCTCGAAACAAGCAATCATACACATAAAAAGAGTCCATATTCTATGCGTGCTTGCCCAAGAAGACATAATCTGGGTTCAGAAAGGCATTATTTCAGCACACCTTAACGCTAATCGAATAAGGATCTTCAGAGGCATCAAACGTCAGACATTTGGTGTACTCGAGCAAATTGGAAATCATTGGAACGTCTTGGTAGCGAGAATAGTAAGAGGACACTTCTCCGTTCACCTAGGTAAATTTAGGCACCTCAGATGGCTCATACCTTTTTCGGCTCAAAACTCGCCCTAACTTAGACCGAGTTGCAGGGTTGGCACTAGTAGATACCTCTTCGGAATCGCCCCCTTCGTTACCTTGAGGTCTTTCGACCTCGACATAGGGGGCAACAATCTCCACACTTGGAATGTTCAATGAAATGTCAAATGACGAAGAAAAGGAACTGGACGACAATGACAACCCCAATATGGATGACCCTACCAAAGACTAATCGGCCGATGCATACTCGAACATTTTGGCTTAAGTAGTACGTACTAATAGGAATGCGAACACTGCTTGACAATATTCATGAAAACCAATCGGCTTCACAACACTCTCTCGACTACTCTAAATCACTCAATCAGGCTCAAACAAAATGGCAAGGTGGACTTCGCCACTTATACATATATATAACACTTAAATGGCGGGAAAAAATGTAACTCCTCAAAGCACAACTGTTAGATCAACATGATCTAATGGTGTACAATGCGTGACTTTTCATTTCAACGGCCTCGACAAATAAACTGACGCAACGGTTACGAACCTGACACCTTTCTCTCCTCATAATTACCCTTGGATTCGATTTATCTCTCCAAGGCTAAGGGGCATGTGTACTGGGTAGGCCATTCGGCCACCAATACCTAGGTAATTCTAAACTCCTCGACACTTCAAAAACTCACTTGGCATTGTCGGCCATCGAAAGTTGTTCGACGCCCTCAGCATTAAAGACCTCAGCTCACAATTTGGCATCTTCGGCAGTCGAGGTATGCATCACTTCCATTTGACATCGTCGGCTCTTGAAGGTCGTTCGGCATCTTCAGCTATCGAAGTCCATTCGACACCTCTGACAACCGAAGACCATTCAACACCCTCGGCGGCCGAAAAGGTTAAAAGGTACAGATAATCTTTTAGGATAACTACTAACCGCCACTAAATAATGATGAAGGGTTAATTATGGATACTAAGTCGATTATCGACGTATTACCTAATTTGGCAATCCTAGCGTAAGGCTTATTAAGAATTGGGCCCATTAATATCAATATAAATAGTCTGTATCTTGAGATAAAATTACTGTTCATTTATTATTATTGATATTTGTGTTTGTCCTTGACTTGAGCGTCGAAGTGCCTTTTGCAGGTACTTCCACCCTTGGTATCTCAACTCGGAGCTCCCGTTCGGTCCTTGAATTACGAGAAGATTACTAGTGTACCTTTAGAGAAGTACATATATCATATATATATATATA